TTTCCAACAAACTACAGACATTCATCAACAACTGCTTACGCTGGCTCGCTACTGAAGATCAGATGGATTGCCAGAAAGAATAAGCAACAAGGAACTCTGGGAACGAACCAACCAATAACCTATCACCCAACAAATATGCAGAAGGAAGTGGAGATGGATTGGCCATGCACTGAGAAGGCCGACTGAGGACATCACGCGTCAGGCCAGGTACTCGAGTGGAATCCCCATGGGAAGCGACGAGTTGGCCGTCCGAGGGTGACATGGAGGAGGTCATGCGAGGAGGAAATGAGAGCTTCTGGGCTGTCGTGGAACCAGGTTCAAAAGATCTCAGAGAACAGAGGTCACTGGAGGCGTGCTACTGAAGCCCTATGTTCCACTAGGAACCCAAGGGACTAATAATAAAAGTAATACAGTGCAACGTTGTGCACCTAAAAATTATGCAGATCAAAAGAAGAAGGAAGATGATAATAGTGGTAATTTATTTCACATCCATCTGTAATTACGGACACATCCAACCTAAATGTACCTCAATCTGAGGTCACTTGATAACTGTACAACAACCACTGATTTCAAGCTCATGAATGCAATTTAGTCACCTCTCAATAGGATATGACGGAATACGGATTTCTCTTGTGATCACATGTCAACTTTTACTCGATGCAAGCACAAACTCAAAGAACAGCTAGACCATCATCGATCAGTATTTTCACAAACTGTAACATCTCCAGTGCATCAATTTCATGTTACCATTTCTAGTGAAATCTTCAAGAATGTAAACTAGATCGCTGAAGAGGAGATAGATGCACGAGATCAAATATTGCAAAGTCAGCAAGAACAAGAAAGAAAGAATGATAGATAAGAAGATAGATATCACGAAAGATGATGATGGAATGCTGCAGAGTAAAGTTAGCCTTCACAGCCTCCACTTCACAGCTTCACCTCAACATAATACTAGTAGAATTCACACAGTCACTTCTCAAATTGATGCAGAGTGTCATTTATTACTCAAAAAGTGCAAATTGATGTTTGTTACATGGCTTCCTTCTAAAAGCATCATATGCAAGCAGTAATTTAAAGCATAACATCTTTCTGATGACTGCTGAGGCGATACACAATTCAGGTTGATTATGTTACATTTATCATGAGCTGTCCAAATGTTACTCATCTGTGATTAACCCTATGATGACAATGCTTATCGTGGAGTGTGAGCTTTCTCATATGGCCGAGCACTTTTGGTAAACAAAAGAGATAATATGTGTCAAGTCACTGGTTTCAATCCTGCAACTGCCCAGATTTCCATTTCACCTTCAATAATCACCCAGTATCAATAGTATTCTGACAAACCACAGCTATCTCAGACAGTCAGACAGATACTCTTTCAACAGAACTTTGAGTACAACCTGTAAAATATGCGATATCACTGTGTGCTCATCACTTTACTTGCTCCTGTACAGCCTAGTTCATTGGCGTCTCCGTACACCACCTATTCATGTGCATTTGATCGATACTAGTATGCAGGGAATATGAAGATATATTTTCAGTCTCGTGATACGACGCACAGTGAGTCCACGACACTCGGATTACTTTGATAAATTCTTTAATCACATCTGCATGGTTAATGATGCGAGGAAAGTATCTGAATAGGTGATGTGTCTGTGAATTTTGCTCTCCTTGTACTAAGGACAATAAGTGACTTCGTGTAAATTTGTATTTCATTCTAGTTGTCATGTGAAGGTCCAGTCACTGGAAGAAACTAATCCTTCTTGAAACAGCTATCTGCTATCTGCTGAGGAATATTGATGTCAGAGCAGCATCCTAATCTATATTACCTATGGATTCCCAGAGTCCAATCGTTAATACTTCTGTGTCTACATCTTCTTCTCACATTACACCGATCAGGAAGACTTGGGAAGAACTGAAAAACGCAGAGTTGACGTCTTCCCAACTTCAAGCATGATATGCATAGCTTCGATTTATGTCTGAATAACGTATCTGAACAACCTGCTCGTATTACTTACCACAACCAGAAGTCAGCTCAGATGCATTAACAGGTACACACTCCACAATTTCTAATTTAGCACACAATGCTTCCAGTTCATGTCTCATGCCTTATCACGATGTTTACGTATGTTTTTGTTACCTCCCGATTGCGTGTCCTAAGCTAAATCAGCTAGTTCATCTCATTAATGAAATCAGTTTTTCTGAGTGGGATTCTCTTATAGATAAACTTCTAATTGAACTCAATAACAAATTCTCTAGCTGACCGATGTACCTGCAAATAGATTGACTAACATTATCTTAATTCAGTAACTGTACACGTGTAGCAATTGTTTACACACTGAATCGCACCATATTATGCATAGTTTCAAAATAGTTTTCTTGATTAACTAGCAATTTTCAGCTCACATTTTCAAAAGTCACCTTTCAACTACGCTGTGTTCAGTAATTCAGACAGAATAGTGTGCGTGCGCAGGGAAGCTGAACAATTAGTTTAGGCAGGAATGGGTGGGTAGGTAATCGTGAAAGAGAATTCTAGACTAGGGCACATTAAAATGCCTTAACCGGTAAATGTGTGATCAGATTGTTCCAAATGTATAGCACAAATACCTCACATTTTTCATATAATCTACTTCTGGTAATTACGCTATCCGAAATCATGGAAGACACTGATTTTTTCAAAATATGGAAAAGAAATTATGTGCGAAACTTAATTCGGTAAACAATGCATTTGCACTGTTTGATAAATCTAATAAATCACTGAAAATAGGATTGCATTCTGCCATAGTGCACACTGTTGACTAATGTCTGAGTAAAACGTCCAGACAGAAGATGCAAGACATGAAACCAGCATGATTACTGACATCTTACTCATTGAGAAACATCCACTCTCAGAAATAATTGACATGTACCTTATGAATCGTAGAATAAATATGACCAACATTTGTACCACAGGTGTTAATAGGAGTAAAAATTATGTAAATAACCATGATAATAGTAATAATAATAATAATAACGATAATGAAAGTGATAGTAATAATAATAATAACAATAACAATGATAATAGTGGCAATACTGTGAACGGAGAATTCTGTACACCTACAGAATAAACAAATAAGGAAGAAGCCTCAGAAACACTACACAGGATTATCAATAAGGCTGGGACAAGAGTGGCATTTGAACCTGAAAACTAACTCGGAAATACGCTTAGTAATTTTTCAATTCGCTATTTATTAACTGTTTCACGCAGAATATTTTATTTTGTCGAAATGACTTCTATTCATTAACTTTTCTGTGCATCTTTTTTCGCCAATCTATTTCCTTCTGTTATTTATTAAATAATCTTGTAATAGCTGACCATGTCTACTAATTACCTTCAATATTCACAAACAGTATTAATGTAATGCTTTCACGTATCAGACTTTTATAGCTTTTACTCAGAATTCCAGTAATATTATTTGTGGATATAATGTCTTCTGTTTCAATATGAATTTGCTAAACCTCACACCAAGTCAGATTATTTTCACTTTCACTATGTACATACTGAAAACTGCCAACATTTTACACAATTCAATAATTTATTCTTACGGCTTATTTTGAAGAAGTTCCACCTGTTGACATAGACTTTGTGAATTTATCTCGTTTTACATCAATGTGGGCATACTTTGCATTTCAGTCTTCTACTGATTTATATTGATTGTGTCAAAATTACAACTTTCTAGTTGGCTTATTGCAATCGTTTTGTGCCAAAACTTCATCAGTCCTTGACAGCATAAAACATGAAATCACAGCATCATGATACCAACTGCGGAACCTTACCTCACCACAGAATATGGAAGTAGATGTGACTTAACCAAAAGTCATAGAATGCTCGAGGAAAAGAAGAAGAACGGTCAAAGTGAACAAAGAAATATCACATATTCGATAGGATGAAGCTGGTGTGTAGATGAATGTCCGTCACTGTGATCAATTCGGAGCTATATCACTTGACGTCTCTGACTATAATCATTCAGCAAATCTGGTGAGGATGGTCGGATTTCAAGCTGATGGTAACCTACTGTGATTCATATATCGTGTTCAAGGTTGATACTTGGTGCTTAATATGAAGAGTGATTAAACTTCTTCATCTTGGTAATCCCCAAAGACTTCAACTGAACTAGTCGATTAGAAATCTTTTGAGTCAGTGAAAACTCCTTGTTCAGTCCCCTGTGTCCAGCCATAAGGTGAACAAATAAAGTTGAATTTGAATCTCAACCCAATTTCTATCTACTCACTTCAGAAAAACAAAGACTTACTAATTTCATAGACCGATTAGGGCACCGAAGCTACTCAACACAGCAGCATTGGATACCGACAGGTTGATCTGGTTAACTATTACCAGCAACTGTTCTGCATCAACTTTCCAAATTGACCACTAAATTTTCTGGGCTCAAATTCACTACTTAATCTCGTCAAAGTAGATATTATTAAAACATTGAAATGGAATGAAAATCAACTGGCGTTGTTTGGAAGCACACATAAACAGATACAAAAGTCTACTCATAATGAACAGAACTACGTAGTCTCATTTTAATTTTGCCAAACAATATAGGATCCTAAGTAATTCAAAGTGTGTGAAAATACAAAAACACTCTTCAGGTGTCCAATCTAACTTGAGGGTTTCAATCAGCCAAAATATTCGCAACATTAATTTTTCAAGTGCTTATGATACAACACACCTAGATCTCCTCAAGGAAGTGCATTTTTGTAAAATTCCTCCTTCTGCATAACTTGCTAGAATATTTGTTCACACATATGTCGACTACTCAATAAGCCACATACATAGTCAAATCTATAAACAATAAATCCTCTACAAGTTGTTAATAGAAAGCTAGCAAACAAAACGATTAAGCGGTTATATAGATGATTTATTTAAATAAAATAAATTTTGGAAATTTACACAGAGAAAGTTAACAAAATCACATAAAATCACAATGCTCGAAGTAACTATGATTCACTAGTAATTACTGTTTTCCTGACTCCTTCTTCACATTTTTACTTTTCTTCGCACTCTCAGGTAGATCCTTGCAATTTCTAAAAAGTATAAATGGATAAGAATGAGAAATACTAGAATATTTGTTTGATACATATGGAGTAATACATAGTAATGAAAACAAATACACACCAATCAGTATGTCAGTTCATAAGGAAGATAACTTTATATAAATGTGGAATTGGTGACAGTTAGAGGGAATAGAATCAACAAAAATCAATCAGGTTGCAAACTCACTCGATCATTGTTCGGTAACCAGATTTCGCAGCTACCTCTTCAGCAGTTGGTCTTGAGAAATTGACCTTTGTTGTACATCTACTATCCTTATGAGTCAGTACAAGTTGTGAGTCAATAGAGAATTTTTCTACATCATCTTCCAGAATCATATCGCCTAAAAAGGAGAAAAAAGGGCCAAAATTATAGGAATCCATATTACACTTTTAATGAGTCGGGGTTTACAAGTATTACAGCTACAATCACTTGACTTGATCTTTTTATGCACAGAGTGGCATCCCATGTGGGAAAGTTCTAGACGAGTTCGTGAACTAGCGGTTGGCTGGTTCTCATCTATATTATAAAATTATAGGAGTTTTCTGGGATTTTATCGTTTGAATATGCATTAGTATGAACGCGAATAATTCAGCAGTGAGTAAACGATACACCGTGGTAATGACTGCAAACAGACATGAGACCTAGGCCAAACACAGCTTCCCATCGATAGACCCCTCACACAACACCAAAATACTCTCAGACTCATATGATGCCTTCGACACCAATCAGCCTGTGCGCTACGATTCCCAAGTATGCATACTTGCAGAGCGTAGATTTCTCACACAATAAAAAGCGTTTACTGCCACACAGTTTGGCATGTTGTGGAACTACAAATGACTTTCTCAAATTCGTCTGTCACCCACCTTGCAACACAATCACAAGATACCCATATTGAAAAATGCACTGACATCTGTTATTCACTTGCCTTTTTCAGTTAACACAAACGGAAGTTTAATGACATCAATTTGCTTAGCAGTCGAAAATCCACTGACAACCAGAAGGAAAATCAATGAAACTAGCATGCTCTTTTCACCTATAAAATAAACAAATTCGTCAGATGAATTTGTAGTTGGGTTATTAGGGAGACTCTACTTAAAAGGCACATGCATTTAAGATATTCTCCAATACTGAGAAAACATATCTCACCTAATTGTGAACAATAATTACCACTCTGATAAATTCTCTCCTTCGTATTTATAGAGAATTGTTTCACACAACCAAATCGACTGTTAATGATTGTCTTGTCAGTACCACTGGATCTAGGAGTATTTGTGTCCACATGTGTTTCTTTGAATAGGTCAAACTTGTCACTTCAACATCTGAATCCCTATGAAACGTTGATTTGTCATATTTTCATTCACATAAACAACACTGATTGTCTATTGATCCGGTTCGCAATGTAATCACTTGGCTAAGTACAAATAACTCAGTTTCAGGACTTTCTGCTAATTCACTTCCAACTTCTAGCACCATAATACAGTGTATTACAGAGTTGCGTCAGTTGGCTAAGTGGTCAGGTCACGAAACTGATCGACAAACTCCGATCATTATGAAACACTTAGGACTTGACAGATATTGGTTACGATCTTGCTAAAAATGCATGATCGCAGAACAATCTCACATAGGGTCAGTCGAAACCTCAGTAGTTTACTAGTTGGTTTCATGACTTCGGCAATGTCGGACACTGGTAGGAATCACCGGAAGAACATCAATTTCCTAACGATTGCAGCCACTATTGAGGAAACATTGACCAAACGATGAACTCTGTGGATTATTGCCAACATTTAGCACTTAACAAATCTAGCCTTATCTATATGACAAATCTATGGAGAAGTATATAAGAAATCGTAATCAGAAGTATCGAAAGTCCTGTGATATCTGATCCGTGAATAAGATCAGCCGTAATTATTTCTCGGCACTACGAAAATAGTCTGTCTTTGTCAAGTGCTTCCAATCGGGTGAGAAAGGATTTTTAGAATTCTTCAACCTGAATTTTTTCCGTTAGCTATAAAAAGCAGTCTAAACGACGGTTAGTGGTTTGAGTTATATATATTTGAAAATGACATCCTTTGTTGGAACGCGCTCGTCTAGCAACTGGTTAATACAAATCGCTATACTGAGTTTTCTACTACTCATGGCGTATGACAGTCTTTATTTTATTCAAATTAGTTTATATATTTTCAGTAACTTATCTTTTCTTTATCCTTACTAGAAAAACTGTTCAGTGTTTTGCTGAAATTGTCTTCCATGTTTTTCTAAATATCACAGCAGTTGAGTTCATTGAAGTCACATCAGCACTGGTGAGTCAGCGACCGATAAAATCTCTGCACTGAGACAGAATAGATCGCTTGGTCTTCACAGACCTACGCCACCAATGGCCCACTGGGGTGTCCGATTACCTGTCAGGGGTCGATTACTCTCTTCTACTATGTGGTTGTGAGACATGACCATCAAAGATGAAGGGAATGGGAAGGCTGCAGGTGTTCGACAGCCATCGCCTTCGTAGCACTGGCTGTGGGTCATGATGCCAGAATATCATTAACGTAAAAGTTAGGTGTGTATTTGTAGATAAAATATGAATGTTAGTCGATGCTACCGTGAATTTTCACTCACTCAGGTGTCTGGAACAAGTGTTACACGTGCCTAGTCACCGTCCGTCCCATTGCACAATGATGACTGAAGTAGCTTTATGCTGAAGAAAGGTTAGACAGGGTCAGATTAAAACATGGCATCACTTCGTATAGTCTCTCACTGCTCGTCTGAACCATGTAGGGAAATGTAAACTTCGTGGTTGGGATTCATGTGACAACTGAAGTTTGTGGTTAAAGACTCTAGCGGAGTAAGTGTATGAATACGTTATCTTCATCATAATCATCATTCCGAAGTTCGTCGTTTCATTCCTTCTTGTCTTCTTCTGACGACTTTCTACTACTTCTGATTACTTTATTCCTCATATCTTTATATTTTACATGTGTGCTTTCTACCCTGATATGTTGATGTGGCAATATATACCCTTACGCAACAATGCCAAGTCTCACTTCGTTGATTACTGGCGTCACAAATTAGGTATGACTCAAAACCTAGCAGAGTATTCATCTTAGCTGCATGAGAGTATGAAGGCTGTTGAATCCTGATATGGTTTGCACCCTACCCTATTCAATCATGTTAACTTTCATGTTCATTCCTCTACATTTCTCCCTTCTTGGATTCTTTTTGTCTAAGTTATTGGGAAATATGATATGTTTCACCGATTCAGTAACATTTATTTGCCTGCTCCATATTAATTGCCTGTTTTCATCCACTGAATAATGTGACTTGAATTTGTAACTACGCAAATACAAACCTTCGACCAGGTCATTGACAATTCGTATTCTATATGTCACACTTAGAAGTAACCAATCCAATAAAACAAGTTTCTGTCAATCTAATACTTTTCTGTTTTTCAGGGTCATTGTTATTGATTTTGAAGTAGATAGATTTAATATTAAAATAGATATACTTTAAATAACAAATAAATGTACTGTATAAATAGCTGATTTGAAAGTGTGACCGGATTTCTCATTGTTGTGTAAGTCGACTTCAAAGAAACAACGCAAAAATTTCATTCATTAAATTTGAACCCCATTTGATTAGAAAAGAAGACAAACATGAACCTATTTAAATCATTGACTTAGGATGAAATATATCATTTTTCATGTGAATATCTTTCAACGGAGAAAAGCAAAAGTTGCTGTAGATCAGATATTTACCACTTTCTAACGTCCTATGGTAAACCTCTATCCTTCAGATTCCTCTAAACTATTTCATGACTTATGTAATTCAGGTTAATTGAGGTTGGAGAATGACAACGTGTTATTATATTCAGAAATAATTGAGTTTAAAATTTTCCCACCAGCTTTAACTAACTTCGTACTCAGAGGAAGCAGTTAGATAGGATTCACTATATGTTCTATAATAAGAAGAATTGTTTAACAGCCATCAATTCAACTGCTTATCAGGAAGCCTTATCATTCGAGGAAATGAAGATTTTTGTATTTTGACAAATATAAGTAGCTAAAAATATACACATTGAAGTGGAATCGAGTTCTGCCTGAAAATTGATGATTAGTCAATCAAAAAGGCCTCTCCAGGATTGAAATTACATCAAAATTCAACTTTCATGAGTCAAAAATGAGATTCATTGGACAACCAAATACATGATAATTTGGAAAATATGTGAAATTCTAGGAAAAATCTTAAAGGGGTCAATTTTGAGGTTCTTTTATAACATCAGTTGCTTGTTAAGAAACTATCTGTCTCCCCCATATGCTCAATACTTTCAGGTTACAGTGAAAGGAAACAAATGTTCCGTTCAACCATCATCATTTTATGTTTAATGGGTTTTAGTACTGTTATGACCAACCTATTTCGTGTTCCTATACAATCTAATCAAGCTGGTAAGCTTTGACAAATCATTATTATTACTCTTACTACTCGTTTTTGTCTACTCGACGCTACATTCAGCATGCTAAATTTATTCCTACTGATTATTTCCAATGGTTAAGTAGAGGGATCTTATCGTATATAACTGTTCTAATGATAAAATATTTTAAAGTATCACTAATGTAGACGATCGATTTGACTCCTTATAACTTCAACCATTGCCTGGATACTATTATTGTGAGAATGAGTTGCCATTTGGACTGAAGTTTTGGTCAATAAATGTTTTAGTATCATACTAGACACTGTTATCACTGCTATTTCCATTCAGCAAAGTTGAACAGTTCCAACCGTACTCCTTGAACTAGAAGTGTTTAAAGGTTGACTGAATCTGATCAGTAAAAACTTTTTCATTGTTTTCATCACACAGGAGTTTGATAGTCTGGTTAGCTGATTTTGTTTGTTTGGATGAGTCATATGATAGCATCGAATGCAGATATTCTATCAGTTAGACTACAATCATGAAAAGCTCTAAAACGTAATTGATTATGAAGGGTCAAGTAGGTTAAACGTTTTATTGAACCGGAAAAAGTATAAGATTCAGCATCATATGGAAGTATGTGTACCAATAAAATGGTAGCTCAGCCTAAGCATTCAGATCCTTGAATACAAGCATTTTCTATCAGTGATTTATGTGCAATTGACGATACTTCAAATCTAAGAAACAACGTGAAATAGACGATTTAGTTTAGGACATCCAAGATTATTATTTATTATTATTATTACTATTATTAGTCCCTTGGGTTCCTAGTGGAACATAGGGCTTCAGTAGCACGTCTCCACTCCACTCTCTTCTCTGAAATCTTTTGAACCTGGTTCCACGACAGTCCAGAAGCTCTCATTTCTTCCTCGCACGATCTCCTCCATGTCACCCTCACCACGGACGTCCAACGCGTCGCTTCCCATGGGGATTCCACTCGAGTACCTGGCCTGACGCGTGATGTCCCCAGTCGGCCTTCTCAGTGTATGCCCAATCCATCTCCACTTCCTTCTGCATATTTGTTGGGTGATAGGTTATTGGTTGGTTCGTTCCCAGAGCTCCTTGTTGCTTATTCTGACTATTCTGGCCATCTGATCTTCAGTAGCGAGCCAGCGTAAGCAGTTGTTGATGAATGTCTGTAGTTTGTTGGAAATCCCTTTCGTGACGCGCCAAGTCTCTGAACCATACACCATACGTTGGTGTTCAAAATCCGTATCTTGTTCCGCATGCTGAGTGCAGAAGATCTCCACGCTGGTTTCAGGCTAATGAAGGCCTGTCTTGCTTTTCCGATTCTGACTTTGACATCTTCGTCTGTCCCGCCTGTAGTTGAAACAGTGCTTCCTAGATAGGTGAAGGAGGTTACTTCTTTTAAGTTTCTCCCGTTGATGGTGACTGGAGTTTGTTGTTGTTGTTGATGGTGGTGGTGCGGTATCTTCATCAGTTCTGTCCTCTCTATATTCACTTGAAGTCCCGTCGTCGCTACCATGCCTCTTCTGTCAACTTGTTAGTTTTCGCCTGTAGATCTTCAAGTTTATGTGACATCAGGCACAAGTCATCGGCGAAATCCAAATCTT